TATGTACAGCATGCCATTAACTAGCACCCCAGAAGTCCCTATCATGCCTCCACCCAGATACTACTCTCATTGCCCCTTCCAGAAGAATAAAAGATAACTATTGTCCTGATTTCAAATAGAATTGATTCGTTTTGCCTGCTTTGGAACTTTACCGTTATAGCATTTATGATTTGTGGGAAAGAGAGCTCTAAATTTAGCTCTCTCCAACTGTAATTGTGTCCAGGTAACATTCAGAAAAGATGTTATTTCATCTTTTTCACATTCAAAAGTTCTCTGAAATATTTTAGGAAATAAAAGTAGAAACTCAAGTAGGGCACTTCTTGGTTTAAATATTTGCCTTAAGCAGGCTAGATTTTTGTTAGCTATTTTCATTTTCTCCCCATTGTGTTTATACCTTTTGCATGTTTCCCTTTTCCTTTGATTTACAGGGATTCTACTATATTAAGGATATTAGACTTTTGCCTGTTATGTTGCAGATGTTTTCCCTAGTCTCTCATTTGTACTTAAACTGTTATACTGGATTTAAAATATTTTGTGTAGAATAATATGATTTGAGTGTTGTGTTCTGCTTAGGAGGGCCACCTCTACCCCAGATTATATTTTAAAAATTCTATATTTTCTTTCAATTAAGTTTTATTATTTGTTTATATCTGTGATCCAATAGGGTTTGAATGTAGTATGGTATTCCTATCAACATTTAAAAGCAGATAGGATGTTTAAACATCTTTCTTTGGTCTTTCCCATTAAAAAACCTGATTGAATTTCATCTACTTATGGCTCCTACATTTTCCCACCCACAAACTTGTAGAAAAAGTTTCTGCTTGTATTTCTCTGCTTCACTTTCTTTTTGTCAACTCATTGTTTCCTGCATGGCATGGCCCTCTGCCTTACCATTACACTGAAACTACTTATGCCTAGAGCAGCCTTTCGCCTTCTTTTTACCGAACCCAGCAGACTGAATTTGGACCCCTCTTTCCTGAGCAGTGTATATTTATCATTGTTGGCAACTTTCTCCTTGAAATGCATCTCCTTTGGCTTCTTTGATACAGTTTTTTTCCTGGTTTTCTTTCTGCTTCTCTGTCTTACCTTTCTTAAATGCTTTTGTAGTCTCTTTTTATTCCCCAAATATTGGTATTTTCCAGAATTCATTCGGTTAGATCCTCTGTGGTTTACACTTAATGGTCATCCTTGGGTGATGTCAGTCTTATGACTTCAGTTATCAACAGTGCTCTGATAACAACCAAATCTTTATTGTGAGCTCAAATTTCTTTTTAAAGCAATGTATTTATACCCCATAGGCACGCATTTTATTTTATTTTTATTTTGTTTTATTTTATTTTATTTTAATTTTTTTAGGCAGGGCAACCTGTGATTGACCTCACAGATTGCAAGGACCTTATATGCTTACAATCCCTTATTTTTTAATTTTCACGCCTACAGCATCTAGTCTTTCTAGGTGGTCTCCCATCCAAGTGCTAACCAGGCCCGACCCTGCTTAGCTTCCGATATCAGACAGGATTGGGCTTGTTCAAGGTAGCATACCCCATAGGCATTTAAAACTTAAACCTGTCATCATTTCTTCCCCTCACCTCTCAAATCAGCACATTTTCATATATTTCCCATTTCAGAAAATAGACTACTACCCAGTTGCTCTGTACAGAAACCGGTTTGTCATTTAAAAAAAAATTAAATTGCAATTCAAATAACAATTAGCCATTTTAAAGTATATAGTTAAGTGGTATTTAGTATATTCACAGTGTGCAACTACCATCTCTATTTAGTTTCGAAACTTTGTTATCACCTCATAACCCCTCCCCCCATACCAATTAAGTAATCACATCTCATTTCTCCCTCTCCCTATCCCCATCAGTATCTTTTGCTTTCTGTCTCTGTGGATTTATTTGCCTTTTATGGATATATCAAAGGAATCATACAATATGAGACCTTCTGTGTCTGGTTTCTTTCACTTAGCCTGACGTCTTTGAGGTTCATTTAAGCTGTAGCATGTATCAGTATTTCATTCATTTTTTATGGCCAAATATTCTCTTGCATGTATATACTGTAATTTGTTTATCCATTCATTTGTTGACGGACATTTGGGTTGTTTCCACCTTTTGATTATTATGAGTAATGGTGCTATATAAGCATTTGTGTACAAGTTTATCATCACCCATGGCCTTATTCTGTGTTATCTTTCAAACACTGCAAGATTGGGTTTTGAAAATGTGAATCTCATGAAGGTCCCTCACTGTTTTTAAAACAAAACACAAACCCAGAGGCTTATCATAGCCCTCTGGACAAAGTCAAAACTTACATGGTTTACAAAGGCTCTTTGCTGTCCAGCTCCTGACATTCTGTCTAGTTTGAACTGCATCTGTACCCCCACTTTGTTCTAGCCATATACTGATCTCCATATTTCAAGTTTTTGTATATACTTCTCTGTCTAAACCTTATACTTTCTCACCCAAATCTTTTGTCTTATTTCAGATGTCTCATCTCTTTTTAGAAGCTGTTTATGTGTTTTCATAATTATAATTTTGTACTCCCTCCAAATTCTTGTAGTAATGTTGGAGCATTTACTATACATTGTAATTGTCTGTTTACTTCTGTGGGAATCAGGAGCTTATAGTTAGGTGCCAGTTGATGTAGCGCAGACTAAAAGTATAATTAATAGGAAGTTAAAAGAAGATTATTTTGTAAATTATTTAGGGACGGCCTCATGGAGGAAGATAGTACTCGAACTGGATCTTGAACCATTCATAAAGGTATGGGAACGATCTGAAACTATAGGTAGATTAAACCTGTTAAATATCCATGGATCTAGACCTTTGAGGAACCATGCTAAAGGCAAAAGCCATGACAAAAGTGAGGTGTTGGACATTCTTCAGTATTCCTTTTGTGTTACTTACATGAAACGAGCAGTGGACCCAATCACTCATGTAGAAGAAAAGCATGAAAAGAATGTGCAAAATATTTTAAGCACTTAGAAAAGTGAGAAGCAATGATATACTTTATGGGAAGAGTAAGGAAACTTTTAAGAATAATTTTGACCATATATACTAATTTCAGAGCTTTTATCCACCTACATTTATAAAATGTGACTAGACTTCTGATGGACAATGCAACAACTAGGTGATTTCTGGATAAATTATAGCATCTTTCAAAAGAATGTTGTATACAGTATTGGAGAAAATAATCTGAGTAATATAATAGTATTTATCTAGAAAAAGGTTGAACATGAGATAACGATATAGAAAATAACTGCCCATTTTGCAGTTGTCTGTGCTCTACCCTACCCTTCAATTGGCAGTAAAAGTGAGACTTTGAGCTCTTTTCCCTATGTCTGCAACGTGGTTAGCACAGAGTAAATATTTGCATGCATAAACAAAATAACAAAATTAAAATCTAATCCCTGTCTTAATGTCTTTGCATTTTCAGTATCCTTGTTTATTTTTATGTCTTAGAATAGCTATTTAAAAGTAAAAATGCATTTCTTGTTTTTTGAAATACAGAACTGATTTAAAACTATTTATAAAAGTCTACTTTGCCTGTTAGGTAAAAATGTTAGACTTATAAAATATCTTCCCTCAAATTTTGAGAAAAGAAGCCATTCATGTTTAAATATAAATAAACTTTCACTTTTGGCTCTCTGTTTTACTGGCATTCTGGGATGTTAAATCGTAGTTGAAATAATACCACCTCTTATTCTGTAAAAAGTTAATATCTTCTCAGTTAACATACTTTGTTCAGTCTTTTATAGCACTTACTTGAATTCTGTTACACTTACTTTTATCATTAGACTGAGCTCCCTGAAGAGAATGGCAGGAATTATATGAGAATTACAAACCTCTTAAGACTCCCTGTTCAGGCAAGGTCTTTCTGAGCTGCTCTCCTCTTGTGTGTGCTTTGTCTCCACTTCCCAGCTTCAGCCAGTCAGTGCTTTCTGTTTGAGTTTCTTGTTGGTGATATATATACATATTTGTATGCTATCATAATCGGTGATGGCTTCACAGGTGTATAGATATATCAATATGTATCAAATTATGTAATTTAAATATGTAGTTCACTGAATGTCAGTTATACCTCATTAAAGCTGTTAAAAAAATTCCTACATGATGCCCACTATCAGTCGGTCATTCCTTTATTAAGCCTTTGTCTCCAGGAACTGTTTAGACTTTGTACTCCTTCTCACCTGCTTTTCTAAAGTCCTCCTCTTGGCCTGTGACCCCTAATCTCACTAATCCTTTGCCTCTGTTCTTGTCCCCAGCCTCCATTTATGCCAGGGCACTATATCTGGAAGGAGAAAAATCTCATAATTGTAGGCTTCACATATTATTCTTAAGCCATTCTTGTGTGCTGGAAGCTATGGCTGGCAGAAAGGGTCAACATTCAGGCAGGACCATACATGGATCCTCTCTGCTCTCTCTGTGCTGAGAGTTTGATGGGTCACACATGAACACCAACTGTAGGTGTGTATCCCCAAGATTACAGAGGACTTGTCAAATAGATATACAGATATTAGTATAAAGGAAGATTGGTTAAGCTCAATAAATTCTAATGAAAAGGTATTAGGCATTCTGTTGGTGTTTCTGAAAATGCATCCTTAAGACCACAGCATAAGAATTACCAGAGAGGTACTGGTTTGATCTCCCTCTGAAGCAGAGTCTCTAGGAGATGGGCCTAGATATCTGCATTCTAATAAGCTCTCTATACCACTATACCTCTGTACCACTATAGGGTACGTAGAATGGTAAGAACCTAGCTGGAAACCAAGGGTAGAAGTAAGAGGGCAGTAGAAGCTGATCTTCTGAGTAGTTTACTTTACCTATTATTGCTTCCTTGTGTTACAGAATAGGAAATGTTTTGGTCATCAGGTAGCATTTTGTTAATGATCCAGGTATATCCATTTAATAGCTTAGAATTTATAATATGTGTATTCAACTTTTGTAATTTCTTTTGGATGAAAATTATGTTTTGATCAAATTTTCCTTTCTCCACAGAACTCAACAAAAATCCAGTGGAAGGCTTTTCGGCAGGTTTAATAGATGACAATGATCTCTACCGATGGGAAGTCCTTATTATTGGTCCTCCAGATACACTTTAGTAAGTACAGTAGAACTGACATCAAAGTGGAGCTCTTTTAATTAATTGAAATGTGAACTGTTTTTGGCAGACAAGTGAAATTATTTTTTTAAAGAGCAGATGAAGTGGTTATGTTTAATATTTATTGAGTGATCATGTCTAGGTTTTTGTGTTGAAACTGATGTCTAAAACCTGTTGCTTTCTTAAATATATAATAGTTTCAGAAAATCAGATATTCTTAATACCTGGAATAAATTTATTACAGAAAAGTTATCTTTAAGGTGAGGTTATATATAAATAATATGTTTTTTACTTGTATCCCAGAAATCGGATTAGTTTTGGCAGGATAGGGGAAGAAGAAAATTCTTTATTGAAATGCTTCTTCTTCTTCCTGTCCCTTGTGCTTACTGTGCTTTGCCTCCAAAAGGAACATTATAATTTTAAAGACAAGGCTTTACTATTCTTAACACTTTATAAATTTAATTAAATCATAATATTATATCTGAGAGATTTCACACAGGACCATAGTGTACGCATCAGTGTCTTAAGCAGGCTGGAAAGAACTTTCAAAATCATCAATTTTAGTGGTTCTTGAATTAGATACCCACAGAATACTGGTCAGAACCAAGGTCTTCTCACCCTAAAATGAACTAATGATCACCTTTTCCCAGTTTATAAAAGTGATTGTTACAGTTAATCATTTTTAATTAATCACTATTAGTTGATATAAAGATAGACAACAGAATGTAGTGGTATCAAAGAACAACAGAAAAAGAGAGATGGAATTTCTTATTTATGTAATATATTTCTAGATTTAAACCTACAGTCTTATTTTCTGCTCCAAGTGCTTGTAGACTAACTTAAACTTACTAATATTTAATGTTCTATAAGAGAGATCATGGCTACCTTGTAACCTGACTAGTACAAGTTCCATACTTTTAACAGAAGTTGAAGTGTTGGAAGAAAAATCAGTGACTTTCTCAAAGCCATACAACTGAGGGACAGCAGAGACAAACCTAGATCTGAGTTTCCTGGGGACTAACTGACTCAACTGTGTGTGTGGTCCTTGATGATGGTACTAAGCAGGCAAGGATTTGGATACATTTTTTTGTGATGGTCAAGTAGTTTCATTTCAGGTGTTTTAAGATGGCAATTCTTTTTTATCCTATAAAATATGTAATGGAAAAAAAAAACTCAGAGCTACTTCTGTACCAGAGCAGACTGGTATATAATAACATACAGAGTTGAGATATAGTGTGGATTTTGGGGTTTTCTGTAGTCTTAAAAAATGATTTATGTTTTGTCATACCTATTGCCAATCAAAATTATTGCCAATCAAAATTTTTGCTGATGTATTTCCAGTGGTATGTTTGCATTAGTAATTGCTGCAAACTAAAAAACTCAAAATAATCACAGTGGTAGTTTGGTAGATAACAGAAGCCATTGAAAACCATTCTAGAAGTATTCCCCCACAACCTTAATATTTTGAAAGCTAATTTCTTACCAAATTTTGTGCACAAAACCATAGATTCAACCTGGTTTATGAGCCCGATGAAGTTCAAGTCTATTTTTCTATAAAAAAAAAACACATATGTGAAGGTTTACTCAGGGTAGAGACAGTAACAGTCTAACATCCACTGATAGAATTTTGTTACACCTACAATTGATTTGAGATGAGAGAAATATTTCTGAACTGATGTCTACATAGAGGATTGGTCAGGCATCCAGGCCTGCGCTCCATCTCTAAGGACCTCAAAGAATTCTTATACTTTTTTCATGAAATGGTGGTTGATATCTCAAATATTGTTAGCTGGTCCAAATATATTTTGTGTAACTTCAGCTCACCAAAGAGAACCACTTTTTAATAATCATTGTACTAATAGGCCATTATGTCCACTAATAAAAACCTATTTCTGGCCTTCAGTATACATTTTAAAAGTACTGGCTGTTGATCTGAGATGTGGATAGCAGAAGCATTTGTGGGCAGCTCCTTTGGAGTATAGACCTACTGATGAAACAATTGGTGGCCATTTCCACATTGTCCCTTCCTAATGAGAGCACTGGAGGCACCTGGGCTATAGTTTAACCTCAATACCACATGTACTTTGATCATCCTGTGAGTAATGAAGCCTTTATGCAGTTGAAAGACATCTTAATAGTCATCCAAAATTACCTAGGTATGATTCCCTTTGCATTAATGATCTTCTTGGATGTTGCCATTTCCCCTTAAGAACTGGATCTCTGAAGGCGGGGCCATCTCCTCCCACATGCTCGAGGCATGCACCTGGTGTGCACCCGGTGTGCACCTGAGGCCTGGCGCACCCGTAGTATGGTCCTTGGTTCCATCTGGGGCGCGAACCCAAGACCTTCTGCGTGTAAAGCTTATGTGCAAAGCTTACGTGCTAACCACTACACTATGGAGCCACCCCCTAGTTTAAATTTATAAACACCGGTAAACAGTTTGAATTTTTCTTTTGTCCTAAAGACAAAGCATGGCCATTGAGGAATTTTATATCAGGAGTTGCCAGTTAAATAAATATTTTAGAATGTACATTAAATTGATAAGTATAATAACTTTGGGATTACAGATTTTATTTTCCCTCAGCTTGTATTTTACTTTTGTAACAAAAAATGTTTTTAACAATGTTATTTAAAAAATTTCTTTGTCTGTAGCATAAAAAATGGACTGGGAATTTGGGGGCTGCCCATGGCTGCTCAAAGTAGGCAAATCAACAGCCTTTGCTTAGGGGATAGAGAAGAGAGCAGATGTGCTTGCTGAGGGCAGGACTCTGAGAAAGGCAGAGAAAATTCACCAGGAAGATATAAGGGAAGGAAAGTTTTTATAGAATAAGCTTTATAAAATGCTACTAAGAATCAAGTATTGAAAATCAGGAATTTAATAGTGTTTGTTGATATAACAGTAACAGTAAGGAAATTACTGGTGTTCTTGTAGTTAACTTGAGTGGAATGAAGAAGGTAGAGGTCATTTTCCAGTGTGAGGAGTGCTGTTGGAAGTGAATACATAAACTTTGGGCATAAGTAACTGTCTAGGTAGAGAAACAGAGGCTGATGATGGGGGAGGAGGATATAGGATTGAAAGTAAGTTAATGTGGGCTCAGATGGTACCCAGACTTAAGTGATTAATTCACCACTTAATAATCAGATAATTTACATAATAATAGAATTGATACTGTACTAAAATTCTTTAAAAGCTGGTGTGGTATTTCATGGTGGCATCGTTAGCCTTCATTTAGTCACTAGAACGCAGTCCACACTCTTTACAATCTAGTCAATAACTAGTATATTCGAACATTATTTGAAACTGATAGTTGCCATGAGTATTAATTTAGCCATTATATTTATCTTTACACAATATTGAATTTTTATTACTACTCTGTACATTAATTAATTTTTCTAGTGCTATTAAGAATAGATTCTTGAGACTTTCTATGAAAGACATTCTGAAACTGGTATGATATACTTGCTATTTTCAGACAGATTATCAAGCAGTGTGGAGTAAGCCAACCATATCCACAATAATAAAAATTTTAGGTAGGAGTGGCAGTAGGTTTTTAAAGAGAGTCTAGACCTGGCTATGACTGTAATTATAAAGTTTATAAATCGGGATTAGTGAATGATGAATGTACACCTTTTATCTCTTATTCTCTTTTTCTTTCATCATTAATGGCTAGTCTGTTTGAGAAGTATGCTTTGTTTTGTTTCTTACCACTGGCAATGGTGTAAAAAATTTGGAGAATCTTAGGTTCTATGTATTTTGTAGTATTGCCTTACCTTGAGTGAATATAGAAAATGAAGAGTTATGACTAACCAAATTCTCTGATTAATATTCTTTTAAAATAACAAAATTCTTTTATAGTTCTGTTTAGGACATAGAGGCACAAGCCATATATTCTGTAATGAAATTTTGGAGGGAATGAACCTCATGCCTATACTGCTTAGAAACTGATTTATCAGTGACAGTGCCATGTCATTTATCATTTAGTGCTTAAGAACGTGGGCTTTAGGGACTATCTTGGTGTAGCTCCCTGACTCTACCATTTTTATTAGCTGTGTGACTGAACAATTACTTAAACTTTGTCTTAGCATTTTCATTTCTAGGGTCAAAACCCTATGCCTAAGAATATTCAATGTTCAGAATATTCAATGTTCTGTTGCTTGTAATAGTAAAAAAAGGAGAGGAGCAATTGAATGTCTTATGAGTGTAATAAATAAATTGTGGAATGTGGCAGGTAAAATAAATGAACTAGAAACAAGTATCAACATTAATATACGTAAAAACAATGTCGAGCAAAATTTCAGCAGGGTATAGTATATCATTTCAATAAAGTAAATATGACAGAATGATAGGATCTGATCCTTGTAAGATTTTTAAAATTTAATACAACAGTAAGGAAGACTTTGTGGAAGAAACTTGAACTAGATTTAGGTTTCTCAACCTGTTCAAATGGGAAACTCTTGATCACCTACCTCTTTTTAACCTCATGCTAGTAATTATACTATTAATAGTACCTGTGATGAAGAGACTATATAATGGAAGAAAAGGTACTTTTAATTCATTGATGCTTTTTAAAAAACTTTCATTTTGCTCATCACAGTAGCACCTTTGTATATTTGAAAAACAGTGAATATGTAGCATGTTAGTGTTTAGTCTAACAATGTTTCGTACCCTGTTAAGTTTTTTGACTTCCTCTTTGCTAATTTAGGTATTCACTAGAAGTTTGCACCCACAAGTTGGGATGAGACTTTAAAAAAAAAAAGCAGGTAGGATTTCTACAGGTAAAAGAGATATTAAGGAGTCCACCTATTAGAGAAAAATGATAAGAAATAGCATGATGGGTTCAGAATGGGTGAGGGCATTTCAGACAGGGTGAAAATTGTGTGCTTTAAGTGTTTTAGAATAATCCTGTTAATTAAATTTGACATTTTAAAGATTGAAAATAAGAGACTAGGTAATTTTTCATGATAAAGATTCCAATCAGTTAATGTAAAGCTTTTAAGTGGATCTAATCAATCAAAATGCAGGGACCTAGGAAAGCTAACTGAATAATGAAGAATAGCTTCACTAGTGAAATAAAGTGCATGGGCTTTGTGACAGCTGTTTTGATGTTCTTTTACTTTGATTCTTGGCTGTTTTCTGCATTTGGGGCTTTCGGTTTTCTTCCCTTTAATACAGCCCATAATCAGAAATACTTTAAATACTGACCCAGTATATGTTTAGGTATATACATCTTAATGAATAGAAACATGTATGTAGATTATATAATTGAAACAACTACTTGTGATAAGCTCCTATGTTTTCTGTTCTATTTTTATTTGTTTAAGAAGAAAACTGGTTAGTGATTCACTTTTAACTAGTTTTGCAGCCACAGTTCGAAAAACTAGTCTGTATAATTAATATGTCCTAAGGCCAGTTTTGGCACCTACTTAGACAGTTAGGGTAACATAGGCAGAGAAGATTGACTTATTTATTCGTGTAATGCACTCTTCATGACAGCTATTCCAGTCTCCGTTTTCCTCATGTTCGTGTTTTTTTCCCCTTCAATAGATAATCTTTTACATTATGAAAGATAAGGCCAATAAAGCAAGCATAAAATTTGTCATTTTTCCTTTCTGCCCCTGGATAGTTGTACTATATTCGGTCTATTTCTCTTTCTGTGCAAAAGGAAAAGATGTTCCTTCTTTTTCTTGGTTAGACCCTTCTAATTTCTCAGTTTTTCTTTTTCTACTATCTCTAGTCTTCCTGCCAGCACCTTCTCATCTACTTGTTAAACTCAAATTGCCCTGTTCATTATGCTTCTACTTTACTACCTTATTCTTTCTTTAATTTTTTTTCAGTCTTTTTCGTATTGTTCCTACCAAAATTGTATTTATCAAAGCTACTTTTTATATTTGGAGTCCAGTGGTGTTTTGTAAGTATTCAGGAGTATTTGCTATTAACGACCCTCTTTTTTTTAATCCTTCCCCCAGTCTTGCTTTTATGATCAGAAAAAGGCAGTAAAAATTAATACTTGCTTGTGGTTAAAAAGTCAACCAATACTTCAATGTACAAGCAGAAAGTAAAAGATCCCATAATCCTTTCCTCCAGAGCTAACTGTTGTTACATATAGGTATCATGTTTCCAGATATATTTCTTTTTGTATACAAATATACCCCCTCTTTTTTCTTTTAAAGACAAATGGGCTTATTCAATGGATTTTTTTTAAATTTAACAATAGATTGCTCATTCCGTCTCACTACTTATTACTCTGCCACTAGAATGGTAAGTGCCATGAAACCGGTGGGCTCTAGTCTTGTTCTCTCTTGTATCCTTTTACATAGAACAGTACCTTGCATAAGTAGATCATCAATGTATATTTGTTCAGTGAATGAAAACTATTTAATGAGCTGAGAATTACATCTCTCATTGATCTGAAACAAACACAATCATATGATCCTGCTCTAATGGTGTGCACATTGAACAATAAAAGACTCAGATGTGTGAATTGCTGTTTGGAATAAAGAAATGAAAAGAGCCCAGTATGATAGAGGGACACAGTGACTTGTTAAAATTGGATAGTCAGGTAAAACTTTTTTCATTTAAGCTGAGTTCTGAATAATGACAAGAGGAGAAGGATATTTCAAATAGAAGAAACAGCTAGGACATAAGACAAGAATGTAGTCACTTTTGCCTCATAAGACTGACTTCAGCTCACTGGTTTTCGTTGTTAACATACACAACTCATTGTATTATTTTGACATTTCTTCAAGAACACTCTTCAATAAATGGCAATGCTCTGGAGCTGCACTAATACAGCAGTCACTACCCACATGTGGCTATTAAAATTACATAAAATTTAAAATTTATTTCCTTTGCAATGACATGAATGGACCTAGACGTTATTATGCTGAGTGAAATAAGTCAGAGAAAGATAAATACCATATGATTTCACTTATATGTGGAATCTAAAAACAAACTAATCAAAAATAAGTTCACAAAAATAGTGGACAATTTGGTGACAGAGGGGAGGGGCGTTGGGGGTCTGGGAGGGTGGGGTGAAGGATTAAAGAAGTACGAATTAGTAGTTGATAGTTGGGCATGAGGATGGGGACTACGGCACAGGGAATGCAGTTAGCATTAATATGATGACTAAGTGGAGGGCCCAAGGAAGGGAGGGAGCAATTGGGGGGATTGTTTTATGAACAGTATAAATGTCTAACCAATGTACTGTATACTTGAAACTAATTTAAATAATAAATGTATTTTAAAAAACTCATTTCCTCAGTTGCACTAGCCATATTTCAAGTGGCTAGTGACTACCATATTGGACAACATGAATATAGAACATCTCCAGTGTGTAGAAAGTTCTGTTGTACAGCACTGCTTTGGAAAGTCACTAGAATATAAACTTCTTGAAAGATGTTAATACTTTGTTCACTGTTATACTCCTAGTGTCTGACACATAAAGACTGAATAAATATTTGTTTCCAGACAGGGAACAACAAAATGTGCATTAGCTCTAAGATAAAAAAGAACTTGTGTTGGAAGAACAGAAAGAAGACTAGCTGGAACAATATGAAGAGTGATAATTTGAGATCAACATAGAGAAATCAGCAACTTGACCTCTATAGGCAGTGTTAAACCTTGTAAATTTTAAGTGCAATGGGAAGTGATAGAAATGTTTGTAGCACAGCAAGTATGTAATCTGATCTAGATGTCTGTGTTAAGCTATTTCTTTTATTTTACTAGCTTTTTAGAGTTTAATAAGATAGTAGGCATGACAGTTTATTAAACCCAGGTATTTCAGTAATTAAATTGTCTGCCTGAAATATAGATTATTCATTTACTTAATTTATAGTGTTAGTACTAGCTCCCTTGTTTTATGTTTAATAGTGGTCTACTTATAGGCAGGAACTTAATAGGCAATAACTTGTTTTTGTTTTTCTTCCAGTGAAGGTGGTGTTTTTAAGGCTCATCTCACTTTTCCAAAAGATTATCCCCTCCGGCCTCCTAAAATGAAATTCATTACAGAAATCTGGCACCCAAATGGTAAGTTTATCTAGTGTTATTTTTACATTTACAAATATGTTCTGTCACTGAAGTTTTCCAGGTCAATAATAAAGATATATTTTCAACGAAATTGTTTTGAAATTTTTGATCTAAGTGCATTCTGTTCATTATGTACATGGCCTTGTATTAGATTCTTCAGACAAGAAGGAGTAACAGATCACATGGAAAAAATAATTATTTACTTGTTTGTTTGTTTGTTTATTAGTTTTTAGCTCCTTTGAGACTCATGATGTACCAAACTAGAGGCAAGTTTAATGAATGATGTAATAGCAGTAATAGAACTCTTATAATTGAGATAATTTCTAAGGTATTAGATGACTCATTGGCTATTACGAAGTGCATAGAGGTAATTAAACCTGGATTTTTGATTTATATTTTCTTATCTTAGCTCTTAGACCATGGGCAACTCTTACTTTTTATCTATATTCTTAGCTGTAAAAAAGGAATGACCTACCTGTAGGGTAACTGAGAGCCTCAAATGAAATAAAATAATGTATATTTTAACCTTTGGAAAGCATCCATACTGCTGTGCATGAAAAGATGACATTGACTTTTTTACCCAAAGATGTGCTACCATTTGTAATCCACTTTATGAGCCAAAGGTTAGGCTAGATAAGCTGTGTTTACATACAGTCTTCCTGAACTTTTGGCCTTGTTTTATATGATAGAGCTTGCAAGGATTTCTTTACTGAGTGTTTTGACTATCAGTATTTTGTAATCATAATTGCCTTTTTAGACTACTACACTAATCTGCATTCTGCTCTTGTGGTCAAGACTTTTTTGGTTGTGAGAAGAAATTCTTATATGTTAATTTAAGCAAAAATCAGTGAGAGAGTAATGGATGAATTAATAAATTAAGGCTTTATTACATGAATAGGGAGTATATATTAGAACCCAATGGCTTGAAAAACAAATGGGTCTTATGAGAGACTAGAACCGACGAATGGAAAACTATTTGTAACCAAGGGAACAACCAAATTTTATTGCATTTAAGATAGAAGTGATCACAAAAGCGTTATTTTTGTACCAGTAAGAAGGGAGAAAAATATCTTCTGACTATTGGCTCCACCACGAATTAGCTGAGTAACTCTAGGCAAAGCCTCTGAGCCTTAGTTTCTTTTAATGTGAGAATTAAGTGAAAGCATATATATATGAAATACATGGTACTTCTTTTCTGTTAAGAGGAAGGATAGCAATAGTTTAGGTAGTTTAAGAGGACAACTGATGAAATTAGTGTTGTTTTTTTTTAAGGTCGAAGAAACTTTTGTAGGCAATGAGAGAGATTGCATTAGAGTGCAATAATTAAGACTTGATTTGCGAGAGGGAATACTTTGTGAAGAAAGGATAGCTGATGAGGTGATGGGACAATGATCGCAAGTACAAGAAGAGGTAGACTAGGAAGGAGTGGTAGTCATTTTGAAATAGAAATGAGGGGAAAAGCGAGAATTTGAGTATCTGCTAGGCACTGGAGATACAAAGATGATTAATGAAGTAGGATCTCTTTCTGTTAAGGATATTATTGTCAATATAAGGCAAAAGTAGACATGTAAACTTAATGGTGAAACTGAGAGATGACAGTGATGTAGTTATAAAAGTGTTCAGTAGCATAGAAGATTAAGGTTACGATTGATTCTTAGAGAATATGATTCTTGAACTGAATTTTGAATATGTAAATGCCTGGCTTAAACTTTGTTCTTTAGGCTGTTGGGACTTATTAAATTAATGAGTTTTAAAGTTATGTAGTCGGTTCATTTTGACTATATTTTCTTCTAGAAAAATTACACCCATGGAGGAATGTTTGGAAGGGGAACGCCGACTAATAGCCAGGAGATAGATAGAGGATTTTATCAATGGTTTTGGTAAGAGACAATGAAAACGTGAACTAAGAGTAGTGGTAGAAAGGAAAATTTAGTTAATTCTCACTTGTTGATTGCTGGATATGGGTGGTAAGGAAAAGGAAAGAATTTAGAATTGACGGACCACTTAAAAAATAATTGTAGAATCAAAACCACAGTAAGATACCACTTTACACTCACTAGGGTGGTTATAATCAAAAAGAACAAGTGTTGGTGAGAACATAGAGAAATTACAATCTTCATTGACTATTGGCAAGAATGTGAAATGTTGCAGCCACTTTAGAAAACAGAAAACAGTCTGGAAGTTCCTGAAAGGGTTAAGCAGAGTTACCTTATAACTCAGCAGTTCCACTCCTAGATATATAACCAAGAAACTTGAAAGCATATGTCTACAAACTATTTGAACATGAATGTTCATAGCGTCATTAGTCATAATAGCCAAAAAGTATAAACAACTCAAATGTCTTATCAATTGAGCAGAAAAACAAAATATAATATCCATATAATGGAATAAAGTACTTATACATTCTACAAGATGGATGAACCTTGAAAATATTATGCTAAGAGAACAAATCTAGTCATAAAAGACTGCTTTGTTATGATTCCATTTATGTGAAATGTCCACTATAGGCAAATCTATAGAGATAAAAAGTAGGTTAGTAGGTGTGTAGGACTCAAGGGAAGGTTGGGGAGAAATGAGTAGTGATTGCTAATCGGTACAGGGTTTCTTTCTGGGATGATGAATATCTTCTAAAATTGGTCATCTTGATGGTTGTTCAACTCTGTAAATATACTAGAAACCATTAAATTGTGCTCTTAAAATATGTGAATTATGTCAATTACAGTAAAGGTGTTAAAAAATTACTATTGGATGAAGGTTAACTTTATGTGGCTTATTAGATGCATTCAATTTTGGACTTTTTTTTTTGAGGTACACTTCTCATATCTAGTTAGATAATTAGATAAAACTAGTCCCAAGGCTCAGTTGTGAGCTTTTAGGGCCTCGGAAGTTATTGGCATCAAGATGACAGTTATACATAGCAAATCATCACGTAGTACACTTTTTAACTTACATAATATCGTATGTTAATTATATTTCAGTAAAGCTGGGGTGGGGGAGATGATGGGTAACATTGTGATATGACGAATAAGTTAATTTATCCAGGGAAAAGATTAATAGGGAGATAAAGATAACATTAAAAGTCAGACCAAGGAAAAGGAAAATTAGAAAGTGACTCAAGAACTGGGTAAAAGAAGAGTGTCACAGAAACTGTAAGGGAGGAAAATGTGTCCAAGAAGGTATACTCAGCATATCAGTTATCTTAGCCCAGAAGGGTTGAGTTTAAAAGTACCCAGGAAAATTTTTTTAAAACTAAGAAATAAAAAAATAAACACACTCAGGATAATAAGTTCTCCAGACCAAAATTGTGAGAATAGTTATAGCATCTTGATAGGGTGCAGAAGCCAGTTTCCAGTAAGATAGAGAGGGAGAGTACCCAAGTAGTAACTAAATAGAGAAGATGAGAGTAAATTGGATTTTCAAAATTTTAGATGGACAGCTTTAAGAGAAAGGAGTTTGCTTGAAGGGTGTGCATGGTTCAGATAGTTTAGTTTTAAGATGGAGGACAAGATGTGTTTTCTTTTCAGTAATTGATGCCTAGATTGTTGGTTAGCTATTCATGGGGAAATTGATTTAGAAATTTTCTTCACACCAAACAGCAAAGTGAATTAAAACTAAATGGAATAAAAAGTTTCAAGTGATTTAAAAAAAGTAGTGAATATCAAGTATTTGCTGAGTATTCGTGACAAGAATTTTGTAGTTTCAAAAGTAATAAATATTTAAAGACTAAATAGAGGAGTATAAAGAGAAGTGGCAATATAAGATTCTTAAATGAATCTTGTATCAGATGAGGCCAGCTATAAAGAACATTATGGGGAAAATGAAATGAAAGGAAAAAGTAGTAGGCAGAAATTGGGGAAATTAAGAAGCAGTTTGGGAAGAAAAAAATGAACACTGAGTACATAAATGGGTAAAGGATAAGAACAGACATTTCACAAAAGAGAAGGTATTATATAGTTTGTATACGTGGAAAATTTTCACCCCCAAAAGCATTTAGAAAAGCTAATTTAGATTTTACCTGTGAAATATAAAAATTACCAATAAAGAAAAATTTTAATTCTGAGTGAAGAGTCAGTGAAACTGTCACCTCGTGTATTGCCAGTGACAATATACTTTTCAAGATGTAATTTAGTAATAGCTATTAAACCTAAAAACCTCTCATTCTAAAAAAGTAAATTGTATGTTTAAAATGAAATGACACAAGGTAAAAATTTGAAGATGCTAGATTATGACGATAATTTGTAAAAGAGGGAAATGATCTTAAATTGATTCTTTCTGATAGAATTTTTTACAAACATTTGCTATCATGTTTTCAAATAAAATGACTTGGAAAAAATTCTCAAGTGAGGAAAGCATTTTAATAATACTGTATAAGCATCTTATGTTGAACTTTATAGTGCTATTAAGTTTTGTCGCTACTGTTCTTGCCACTCGATCTGCTTATTCCAATTTAATTAATAGATTTTAACTAGGAGATAGCAAGCAGTAGGTTGGGACTCAGACTCTCAATTATAGAAAAGCTCATATACAAGACATTGAAGGCATAGGCTTTGTTGTATTCACTGCTGTATCCCCTCTTTGTCAGTGAGTATCTGGCACACAGTATGCATTCAAGAAGTAATTGTCAGAGAGAAATGATACATATAAACTTTGATTCTAGTTACCCAGAGTTTATAACAGGAGAAATGCTTAAGTTTTGAGATGAAAAATAAGCTTTAAAATTATACCTATTACAAACTTGTTAGACTTTAGGTAGGTAGGGCATTGGGAATGAAATATACATAAATATCACCATTGGTTATTTATGGGATTTAGGGATCTGGTTGAAAAATTTTTATATTTTTCTGTCTTTTCTAACATTTCCACATTAAGTTTGCTTTTTTTTGCAGTGGAGAAAGTATTTGTGGGATGTACATGAGTCAGTGGATTAGGACTTTACCTCTTTGTTTGATCAATTAAAATAGTTTTATAGAAAACTATATGTTGATGAATTTTCACTGGCAGTATGACATGTTCGTTTTGTGAATTTGAGTGTACTCCTTTCCCTAAAAATATAATTTTTGCCTTTATGCGATTTAAAAAAGACATGATGATGTTACTTATTTTTTTTCTTGGGAAGGCCTCTGGACCTTTGACTGTCACTCATTTAAATCAATAAGTTGGTGGGGAAACTAGGAAATCATTATGTAGAAACTCACTTCTGGTATTTGGACCATATGCTTTCTACAAATGAAAAACAGATTCAGTAGCTGCCATTTATCCATTTCATTATATGGTACAGTAAGTCCTCACTTAACATCATAGATAGGTTCTTCAACTTTTAAGTGAAATGATGTATAATAAAACCAGTTTTACCATAGGCTAATTGATATAAACAAGAGTTATGTTCCTATGGCATCTCATCGATGTAGAAGGAAAACGACATTATTCGAGGAGCTGCTATATCACCTATCTGTAAATGCTAGACATCTTGAAGTTTTGCAGAAATGAGAAAGAAGGCTTACATTCCTATTGGGTTTGTCAGATGGATCCTATTTGGTAAAATCCGTGGTCTTCCTAAATTAACAGGTTCCATTTGGGAAATTAACTTTTATATATATATTCATTGTACTATAGGAATCACGACCACATCTCTAATAGATATTTTATGTATGACCAAATTATTAAATATTTCAAACAGGATTCTTATTCTCTAATTTTGCAGTTGATAAAAATGGTGATGTATGCATTTCTATTCTTCATGAGCCTGGGGAAGATAAATATGGTTATGAAAAACCAGAGGAACGCTGGCTCCCCATTCACACCGTGGAAACCATCATGATTAGTGTTATTTCTATGCTGGCGGACCCTAATGGAGACTCACCTGCTAATGTTGATGCTGCGGTAAGGTGGTCACAAGCACTTATATCTGCTCCCCTTTAATTAAACTTGATTACAATTAGAATTTATATTTATATTTGTGCGTATGTATATCTGTCTGTAGTTACAGACATAATTAAGCTTCACGAACCCTAAATACATGAACCTGCATCTTTTAAGAATAAGGATACCATCTTATTTAACTATAATTACTATTGTCATACCTAAGAAAATTTAATATCAAGTCCCTATTAAAGTTTATATTAGTGTTCTCAAGTTTTTATTTTTAAAACTTTTATATTTACCAAAAAAAAAAAAGTTTCATTAGTTAAATAAACACTCCTATATTCTTCATCTAGATTTACCAGTTGTGGAGATTTTACAACATTCCCCCCCCACCCCCTGCCCCCAATTATTTAAGAATAATTTACAGATATCCTAACCCTTCACACTTGAGTACTTCAGCATGTGTCTCCTTAGAACAAGGGCATCTTTCCACATAAGTATAGTACAAGTTTATCATTAATACAATATTACTGAATATATATAGTCCATCCTCAAATTTCTCCAAGATTGTTCTTTATAGCTTTTTTTTTTTTAATTCAGAATCTAGGAACCCACATTCTATTTTGTATTCACATTTTATTCTTCTTTAGAATAGTCCTAGTTCTTCAACTTTCTAGTCTTCTTTTAAGATTTTTGTTCTAATTCTTGTTTTTGGAACTTTTGTTAGTATCTGCGAAAGCCAGGAGATTTAAATTCACCTTTTTTCTTAGGTTACTTCAAACCTATATAAAAACTTAGGTGAGATCTTATATGTAGAAAACGCTGCATAGATAACCAAGGCTTTAGATCTTTAAATTTATTTAATACATTGAAGTAAAAACTGACAGAAAACTATTCCAATTTTCTATTTAGTCAGTTTTATGTACAAACAATGAAAGAGGTGGTAAGGGAGAAGAGGTGAAAGCTGTTTTTTAAACAAATCCTGTGAAATCATTTGGAGGGAGAATTACTGTTTCATTTGATTCATCCTCAACTATCAGTTCTTTTTAATAAGATCAGAACTGACAAGTTGTGTTTTAATTTTCATAAAGGATTTAAATAAAGAGCAAATACTTGGCAGCATGAATAGGCAAGAATTATTAACTTTAAAACAGTTGAATTCTGAAACGACAGGACCTGCTGAAAAAGTAGTCATTCTCTTGATTCTAAACATTTTCTTAAGGGTAGAAGTAGTCCTTAATGTGAAGTTGAAATACGTAAACATGACTTCTCAAATTGTGCAAAATTCTCCCATTCTTTTTCTTGAAGCACACTGCTTCTTTTTCTGATTTATTCAGTTGTCTCGTTTAAACCATAGCTTTCTTGTAAACAATTTTGTTTACCTTTATTATTTGCTTTTCCTCTTGCATTGCATACCTTTTGTAGTATTTTCATATTTTTTTTTGTTTGCTTGTTTTTCTAACCTCTCAATCAGTGATATCCTATTCCAGGAAACCCCGGTTTTTCTTGGAGATCTCTCCTAGATTCCATCATACTTTGGCACCAAATTAGATTGATTCAGCCTGGTGCTTGGCTGCTTTCCTTAAATTTTCCTTTCTTCCCTTCCTGCTCTTCTGGATTGGGTCATCTGTTTCCTGGGTCGTCTTATTTTTTCAGTTGACTTCTTTTGCTCTTCTTCATCCTAAAGTAATGTTTGATAAAGCGTATGTGGGAATTAAGTCCTTACATGTCTGAAAGTATTTTAATCCTGTCTTTATACATTTTGTTTACAAAATTCTAGGGGGAAAAATAAAATTTCTACAGAATTTATCTTTTAGTATTTATCGTTGCTGGTAAGAAAGTTGATGCAAGGCTGATTCTTCGTTTGTAGTCCCTCCCTTTCTCTCCTCCTTCTCTCCCTCCTTCCTTTTCCTAGTTCCCTTTAGGTACTTTTATGGATTTTGGGTCTTCTGAAATTTCACGTTGTCATGTAAACTTGAAAATTTTTCCATCTCTCTAGATGTATATTTTGATTACGTGCTCTGGGAAGTTTTCTTTTTTAATTACTTTGAGAATTTTTTCATATTTAATATTTTTTTCTTTTTGAACTTGTAGCTATTATCCATATTGATCACTTGTTTGTATATTTTTCATCTAAAATTGTGCCAATATTGAAGACAGCATTTTAAATACCTTGGTCTTTTCTCCATTAGTTTCTTTTTCATGAAATCTTATCACTGTTTGATGAATTTAATAGTTCTTTAATTTTTTAGGTGTTCTAATTAGAGATTTTCAGAAGTTAAATTCTGAAGTCTCTTTTCTCTGAGGTCAGTTTTTCTTTTGTATTTTGAAGACTACTTGAAAACTCTGCAGGCATTCTGCATAGCTCTCCATGATAAATGAAAGTCAAGGAAAGCAGATTGGAGGCTTGTGGGAGAATGTGGGGGGATGTGCATGCATGGGCAGAATTTATTCCACTTGAGTTTGTGGGTAGCAAGCCAGATATTAAATTAAGGGTAGGAGTTGGAGGAAGAGGGGTGTCATTTAAATGCCAAAATAAAGTAATTACTTTTGGGTACTGATACTTAACACTAGCAGCTCCAGTTCTAATACTCTGGTGTGCCTTCCTTTGAAGTCTTCATAAAATCTATATATCATCATTATTAGAGGAAGATATTAGAATTTTAGATATAGGTGGGAAGAAAATTCCTAACTATCGAGTTATGCAGGCACTTTCTATTACTTTATTTTCAGCCCCACTTCTTTATGACTCTTATCAGATTTTCCATTTGTAAACTTTTAACTTCTTTAGGGTTCTGTTCAATAGGTTCTTTTTCCTTTGCTCGGCTACCATTGAGGCTTTTCTAGGCTGCTACTCTTTCTTCTTTGGTGCATGTTTATTACTCTTCTATCTGCTTCTGGTCTTCTTGAAAAACTTCTGCCACCGTTATTAGATGACTTTCCTGGCATTTTCTTTGATGTTGAGGATTTATACCTTAAAAAAATTCCAATATGATCATTGTAATAGGGTCGCAGGAAA